GGCATTGACATATTAGCAGCTGGGCACAGGAGAACTGCCTAAAATCATCTAAAACCCTAAAATCCACATTTCTGATATGCACCCATGCACATGATGCCATACTCCAATCACAACACAAGACTGAAATGGCAGGTAGATAGCATCAAGTTAAGAAAGGTGGCCAAGGACATCTCTCCCCCTAGTTTTGATGTTCAAAAAGTCTTAGAAATGGGAAAATGCTAAGAAAAAAAAAAGGTAACATCTAAAGGAAAGGGGTAATATAATAAAAGGTACCTGGACTGTTGTTCGGGCAAAAGTGAACATATGAACTTTAATGTCAAGAAATTGCAGGTCACACTGACCTGAAAGCTAAGTGGAAGAACATAAGCCACTGTTCAGATGCGGGCTCGCTCTCTATACGGTGCCTCAAGGCGGCCATGGAGACCGTGTCACCTCCCTGCTGCCTCTGGTCATGTTCTGACATACATAATTCAAAAATAATTTGAAAAGAGCTCAGGGAAGGAACATGAGTATGATTAAAGGATTGGAAAATTTGTTTTTAATTAAATTAAATGAAAATTCACTGCAGGCCACTGTTTAGACTGCTCAGATTCTTAACAAGTTGCTTGATTATATTCTGGTTTAAAACAGCAACTCAAGATTTATTAATGTAGTTTTCCAGTCTGATTTATTAAGATTGTTTCTCACCTAATAGGAAAACACACAAGGCCACTGACTGGAAGTTAAAAATAAATTAGGTTCTGAACTGCGTTTCTTCCTCCCTTCCTCCCCTCCATTTTTTGCAGTAACCAGAGGACGGACTCCCTGTGCAGTTCGGAGGTGTTCACACACAGAATGCTACCACAGGCAGTTCTTAAAAAGATACAGTCTCGTTCAAACAGGAATTATTTCAAAAACATTATTTGGTGAGAGTTGCACAGAAGGTGCAAAACAGACTTTATAATAATGTATAATCTCTGAAGCCTCTAGGAAGGCGTTTAAGTGATGCAGAAAGACTTGCACAGACCTTGAATACAAAAACTTCTGAGCAAAATTTGCCCTGATTGCATTTACTTCAAAAGCTCATATAGATACTACGCAAATTATTTTTTCTCATACATTACCAGCTAAGAGAAAGTCAGTCATACCCAAAACAAAAGATACTTTACTACTTCAAAACCACTTTCATCTGGTAATAAAATTCTCCATCAGCTGCATTTCAGGCTATCTATATGCAGTCTTAGTTAACTCACTTCCTCTTGTATCTGCATTTTTAAGGCTCCTCTGACAGGAGAAGTGGGTGTGGTCTGTGATTTCATAGAATAAAAAAAATCAGAAAAACCGGTATGAAAAGAACCACACTCCTATAGCACTTCGCAATTATATCAACTATCATTTCAATGTAAAACAGGCTTTTCAGAGCATTAGCTAAAACACAACACCCCAAAAAAACAACCAGCCCACAGTTTTGGGGATGTTCGAATAACAATCACATCTTCCTGTTCGTTAAGTCTACAAACTAAGCATTACATATTTCTCAAATCAGATTATCCCTTCAGGAACCCAACAGCATTTTCTCATCTGAGCAGTGCAGAATGACAGCGCCACATTCAGAACTGCACACCAAGTCTCCCAGCAGCACGTGTGCAGGACAGAAAGAGAAACAAAGAACAGAAAGAAACCCGAACACAGGAGTACAGAAAATAAAAGAAAAACAAGCTACTATATAATATCATTAAAAAGCCTTTTTTTTTAATCTCCATTCATTGATTCCTGCTCACAATAATCATTTGAACGAGGATCATATTTTTTGCATCCGATCTGCAAATCCCGAGGAGGTGAATTCAGCCTGGGTGTAACTCTCCTGACTCCAGCAGAGGTGCACTGAAGCAGAATCGGTGCCACGTTCTAACATTAAATAAGCATTGATGTTCTCCCATCCCAAGCCCCCCTCAGTGCTCATTTATAAGGACCATACAGTACTCTCCGGGAGAGACGTGCCCCTACAAAAGAGGCCTTTGTCTGCTCGCCACTCTGCTGTCTCAGAGAAAGAGAATACAATTCGCTTTACATTTTTTCAATTCCTTTAAATTATTTAAGAAGAAAAAAAATTGCTTACAAGTACATATCCTTCTGCAAATAAGCTTCCTCAACATTCCTTCATATTTTCCATAGCGTGCCCAGATGTAACAGTGCTTCACAGAGCCCCGCCGCTTTCAGTCCAGAACATAATCAATCATTGCCCCTCGTATTCATTAAGCACGCTGTCTTCACACGTGGATTTAAACAGCCATGGCTTCGGTCCTGCCTCTACAACTGCAGCTTCACGGGATTCTCATCAACACCCATTTCAGCCCAGGAAACTTGGGTTCACTTCTAGGAAAGAAATTCCCTGCTAGCGAGGGGAACCCGGGACAAATAATCAGGGATGAAGATGAGCTGACTCTGCCTGGCTGGGCTGGCTTGCACTAGGAACCAGCCCGACTTTATCCCCTGGGAAGCGCTAACAGGAGCATCTCAACAGCTGTCATCGTTTGTCCATGACGAATAAATTTAGTCATTATTCATTTTAAAACGTAACCCCTTCAGCTCTGGGCAAGGTGTAAAATGGAGAGAAGGGACCGTGCTGGTTGTTCAGGAACTGCGGTAAACATGGGCCAGCATTCCCCCTGCCTGAACCACCAGCCTGGGACCTTTTAAAGCAAAGTAAACGAGTCTCAAATTTCCTTTCCAATGAAAGGAGATGCTTTCTGGCTTCTAAAAATCGTTAAGATTCCAGATTCAAATATTTTAGTTATTTATCTGTAAGCTTTAGAGAAGAAAGCTACTCTGGAGTGACCACAAAGTGCAAAAAGATTTTACAGTCGTGTCTGCTCCTAACAAAGATCCCCTGCTATGGTCTTTAGGCCTGACTCTGCAAGGTACCAAACCTGCCCTAGCTCCGCTGCGCCCATTTACCACGTCCCATGTCCAAGCGTCAGTGCCTCTGAAGCGGGCAAGCAGCTTGCAAGTATTTTATTTTTCTTTTACAGGATACCACCTTCTCCCCTTTCACTTGCACATTTACATTTAAGCAATCAAATCTCTAGTTTGACATCCAAATAGACTGAAGCACCATGGCCAGAAGGTGGAATCCATGGATGCTCTGCCTGCTCCAGAGGTGCTCCTTTTTGCCAAACACAACCCAATGTGCATTGGCCAATGTTTTTCAGACAGATACCCCTTGGACACCTCTGATCGTGGTCTCCCTCAGGACCAGCATCTGACACCCCCTTCTGCAGCTGTAACTCCCACAGGACACAAGGTGCAGTGCACTACTTTATGGGTGTAACACCAGCCTCCAAACGTGACAGCTTCAGCAGAGGTTAAATACCTCTTCCCATTAGCACACACCAACCCATATAACCTAGCTGCAAGCCCATTTAGCTCCAACATTCACAGGTATTGTCTAGGTTTCTGCAGGAAAACAATTTTATGAACCCAAGGAAAATAAGGAGACACATATATGCTCTTCAGCAGGACTCAATTTTTAAAAACAAAGTAGTCACAGTCACGAGCAGCAGTACACAGGCACAGCACATCATTACGGTTTCTTGCTCAGCCATCTCCCATAGCTTCCCAGCTGTTCTCTCCTCCTGGTCCCAGCCACGGCCCCTCCTTCCTCACCCTCCACACCAGGCACAGTGTTTTGAGCCTTTAAAACGCCACCCACTTGGGCTCAGTGACCCCA